TCAAACTCCTGGGCTTAAGCGATTCTCTTGCCTCAGCCTCCCAAGTAGCTGGGGCTACAGGCGCCCGCCGCAATGCTTGGCTATTTTTTTGTTGTTGTAGTTGTCGTTGTTTGGCAGGCCTGGGCTGGGTTCAAACCAGCCAGCTCCGGTGTATGTGGCTAGCACTCTAGCCGCTGAGCTACAGGCGCCGAGCCTCTTGCCTGAATTTTTAAATCTGGCTGCCTATTTAATCTTGCTTCTGGGATGCCTAATAGGCAATTTAGATAGTGCATATGTGGGGGATACTGATTGGTTTTAGTAAATTTTCCAAGAATTCTTGGGGGATGTAAAGGAATGTTCTTTTGGTGGGATCCAGCACTTTTTATAGGTAGAAAAATTTAGTCTTAACTATAAAAATACTAATGTACAAATCTTTATTTTTTTCAAAGGTAATACATGCTTACCTTAAGGCCTCTTTCTTTGTGAAGGTTTTAGTTAACTTAGGAAATAATTTTCTTCATGTAGGAGTTTCTTTGAGTCTTCAGGATAAGCTGCCCCTCTCCCCCTTACCCCGTTTTTCCTAATTACACACTCCTGGTGTGTGTGTGTTTTAAGTTTATTTCCTCATTTCTAAACAGACAAACATCTATTTGGGTTTGATGTTATCAGTGGATAATGTAGTTTTTTGGGGGGGGGTTCTTTAATTTGCTGCCAGTGTCTTGCTGTTAATGTCCTAATCGTGAAGCAAAATCTGACCACCAGGGGTGAATGTACTTTGAGGTTTCTAATTCTGGGGCTTCAGAGACATTATTTATTGAGAAGGGTGAATGAGGTAGGTTCTTCTTTTGTCTGTGTCCCTGGTTCCTGACCAAGTAGACTGATGGAATTGTAAGTAATTTGTTGCTTGTCTATTAGATTATGAATTCCATGAGGGTAGGAACATTGTCTGACTTAGTATTACTTGGAACTACAGTTGTAATGCTTCATATACAGGGCACATTTACCAAATTTGTACTGGATTAAATGAAATTGAATTGTTGCTTAGAAGTGATAGACCTGGGATTAGATTCAATCAAGCAACTGTCAGTCAACCATCCTTTTCTTCTGTGGGCTGCTACACAGTGAACTGCAGTGTTTTCCTTCCATTTAAGGAGAAATAAACTTAACCTGTTTTGGAGTGTGTAAGGAGGATGTCAATGGGTCTCTGGTGGAATTTGTACAGGGTTCATGTTGGGTACCTTGACATAGCAATGATTACATATGTTTAATATAAATATATTACATATTTTATCTTCTTTCCAAGTGTGCCTTTTTGCTGTTTTTAATTTCTTAGGCTGAAAAAATAATCAGGTATTGTAACAGTAGGTGATATTTACAAACTACAGAATGGAGCCCGAGTTTGCATTGATCTATGTAAATATAAATCAAGAGCTTTCACTTTAGTGCGGCATTAGTTCTGATCAGATTTGGTTGCATGTAATATAAGTCAAAATAAGATGGCTTAATCAAAGTTTACCTTTTCTCTTGTTTGGGAAGCCCAGAGATTGCCGGATTAGCAATGATACAGTCCCAACTCCCTCTTGGGCATGGCTTGCCTTCCAGTCCCTTTTAGCCTGGGAGAGATCGCCCGATTAGCGTTGATACAGTCCCAAATCCCTCTTGGGCATGGCTTACCTTCCAGTCCCTTCCAGCCTGGGAGAGTGCTGCCCACTTAATCCAGTAGCATGCTTCCTGTGGTAGGGACGCTTTCCCGTGGTTGCACATGCTTTTGCTCACATACCATTGGCCAAATGGAATTCAGTGATTACATCTAGTTGTAGGAGAAGCTTTTAAATCCATGAAGCATTGCTGTCTTTTTTTTTTTTTATTGCTGTTGTAATACTTAGGAAATCTATTACAGCAGAGAGAAGACTATTGGAGCCCAACTAGCCATTACTGCTTTGATTATCAGTGGTTAGATGGATGTCTTCTCAAGTCACTGAAGTGTTCATTGGAATATTTTCTTAGCTAAGAGGCAGTGTTTAAGAACACGCGTGCTAAGGATGTCAAGCAAAAAGACAACCTGAAGAACAGGAGCAAATACTGAACATTGTATGTCTGATAAAGGACTTGTTTCTAGAACATATAAAGAACTCTTGCAACTGAATAATAAAAGGACAAAATTTAAAAATGGCCAAAAGACCTTAATTGGACATTTTTCTAGAGAAAGCGCGCAAGTGGCCAATAAGCACATGAAAAGATGCTTGGCATCCTTAGCCATTAGGGAAATGCAAACCCAAACCATAATTAGATACCACTTCCTACTCACTAGGTGGCTATAAATAAAAACACAGGTAATAACAATGGCAGGCAAGGATATGGAGAAATTGCAACACTTGAAGGCTGAAGGTAGGAAGTTAAAATGGTATGGCTGTTTTGGAAAATAGTTAAACACAATAGTGCCATGTGATCCAGAAATTCTGCTCCTAGCTGTATGTTCAGGAGAAATGAAAACTTAGGTCTACATGGTCGACCTAAAAGGAAGAAGCTGAAGCAAAATTAATGTAAGCAGTGAGTTTATTTGGGTCAGGCTTGAGGGCTGCAACTTGGGAGCATAGATGCAAGTTGCCCACAGTACACTGTCCGATTAGTGGCAGTTACAAGTGAGTTTTTATTTTTAATATTTTTATATTAATTTTCTCTCTCTCTCTCTTTCCCTCTGACCCTGTCCTCCCTTCCTCTGTTCCTTTCCCTCCCCTCCCTCCCTTAATTTCCTTCCTTCCTCTCCCTCCCCTCCCCCCTTCCCTTCTTCTCCCCTTCCCTCCCTTCCCTTTCCTTTCCTTTCTTCTTCTTTTCTTTCTTCCCTTTCCCTTTCTCTTTCCTTTTCCTTTCCCTAGTCTCACTCTGTTGCCCTGGTTAGAGTACTGTGGCGTCATAGCTCACAACAATCTCAAACTCTTGCGTTAAGGGATCCTCTTGCTTCAGCCTCCTGAGTAGTTTGGACTACAGGCATGTACCACCATGCCTGGCTAGGGTTTTTTTCTTTCCCCTATTTTTAGTAGAGACAGGGTTTCCTTCTTACTCTGGTCTGGAGCTCTTGAGCTCATGCATTTCGCTTGCCTCAGCCTCCCAGAGTGAGCGCTAGGATTATAGGCGTGAGCCACCATGCCCAGCCTACAAGTGGGTTTTTAGAGGTAATTTGTGAGTTGTCTACTAGAAATTTACATTTAAATAACATAAGCTATTGTTCCTTATATCACAGATTCCAGAAACATGGAGATAATGGGTGAGACACCTAGTCAGGACCAACATGACTAAACAGTTGTCCCCGGTGGGGGGAAGGATGACTGAAGTCCCACTCATAGTTCTCTGGGCCTGCATACCTCATACAGCTCAGGTTGCTTTGAGCTATTTTTCTTTTCTCAACCCAAAAACTTGTAGGTGAATTTCATAGAAGCACTATGTATAATAGCCAAAAAATAGAGACAATTCAAATATCTATTAACTGATGAATGGATAAATAAAATGTAGTTATATTCATATAATGAATAATGACTCAGCAATAAAAGAGACCCATAGTACGTGCTACAGTGTGATTGAACCTTGAAAACATTAGGCTAAGAAAAAGAAGACCACTTATCATATGGCATTTATACAGAGTGTCCAGAAGACGCCACTCTATATAGGATGGAGAGTAAATTAATTAGGTCTGGCGGTTTGGAGGAACATGGGTAGTGATGGCTTAATGGGTATGGATCTTTTTTCTGGGGTGATTAAAATGTTGTAAAATTGATTTCGATGATGGTTACACAAGTCTGTGAATGTATTAAAAGCTGTTGAATTGTACACTTTAAGTGGGCAAATTTGATAGTGTGGATTCTATCTCAGGAAAGCTTTTTTAAACAAAAGAAAACAGCTGCAAACAAAGAAGTAACTACCACAACTAAAATAAGGGTCTTAAATGACCATGAACACTCACTACGTGAGGCCAGCCACGGTCACTTATTTTAGGTTGGAGAAATAATATTTGGTGTAGTTCTCTTCTCCCTGGCAAGTAGGACCCTGTCAGGCAGTGTAGCTTTCTCTCCTGAAGGGTGACATATCACCCCTGCCCCGTTTTGCTGTATAATCTGCTTTTGGCTTTCCTAGCATGCTTGCCACGTGCTGGTTGTGCTATGACTCCCTCTACATTTGCTTGATAAATAATTACCATTCTGTGAAAGTTCTCCCACACATCACATTCACACACTGCTTGAAGAAAATGCTTCTCATTTTGCTCTCATTAATCTGCCATCTCAAATATCATATTTGGTTTGATTTCTTTTTTCCTCATTCTCGTTTGTCACTCTTGAAAGGATGGCAGAGTGCTGCTTACTTTTATATTCACTCATGTATATTTTCATGATGATGATGGGAGGAAGAAATTGCCCATGTAGCTAAAGCATTAGATATCTTAGAGTGCTTTATACCAATGACTTTATTTTTTTCTTTTTGAGACAGAGTCCCACTTTGTTGCCCTTGGTAGAATGCTGTGGCGTCACAGCACAGCAACCTCAAACTCTTGGACTCAAGTGATCCTCTTGCCTCAGCCTCCCAAGAAGCTGGGACTACAGGTGCCTGTCACAACACCTGGCTAGGATTTTTTAAATTTTTATTTATTTTTTATTTTTAGTTGAGATGGGGCCTTGCTC